AAAAAGAAGAAGAAGAGTTTGGCCACTGCAGCTGCCATTCTGGGTGCCATCACGCAGGGGGTGTGGCCCAGGGTGTTAGCACAAGAAAGCTGCAGCCATCACAGCTATGCTGGCCACCCCTCCCACAATCCCATTCTGCTACTTGGTGCCCCTGCTGGACTGTGAAAGTGGACGCACAGTCAGGGCCGGTGTGGGAGGGATCAACAGGAGAGAATGGGCAAAGAACCTGCCATGAAAGAGGTCCATGGCTCTTCCTGGACACTAAACGGACATTAGTCCCAATTGTAGACTTCCCCCCCACCCCACCGAGGCCTGCTTTCTCTAACTGGTCAAGGTCACTTTCAATGCTGTTTTGCCTCTGAGCCCATGGCCACCCCACCCAGCTTAGTGTCAGCTGCAGGCTAGACGAACACCTTCTCAGTGCCATTTTCCGGGTCACTGGTAACCACATTAGATAATCCAGGGCTGGCCCCACCCTATACCTGCCCATGCCTGACCTTGCCAGTGACAGCCTGTGGTCCTTCCCCAGGTCCTTCATTGAGATCTCCAACAACTGCCTGTCCAAGGACCAGCTGGCCGAGGTGGTGGAGTCCATGTTCCAGGAGTCGGGCTTCCAGGACAAGGAGGAGCTGACGTGGGAGGACTTCCACTTCATGCTGCGGGACCATGACAGCGAGCTCCGCCGCACGCAGCTCTGCGTCAAAGGGGGAGGTGTGTGTGTCTAAGAAACAGCCAGAGTAGGGGAGAGCAGTGTCTTCGCGATGAGAGTTCTTCTTTGACAAGACCCACGTCTTATTCTTCTCTCAGTCCCTGGTGCCTAGTCCAGAGTCAGGCACATGTAATCAGGAGTGTCACACATGGGTGTGCAAGTTGCACACTGCACAAAGATGCTCATTGAGGTCAAGGGGTAGGTTGAAATCCAGCCTGCAAGCTGCTCAAAGCCAAGATCACCAGTGTAGTGTATATTTTGCCAGAGGAAGAGATACTATTTTCTTTACACAAAGGATCTTCAGGATTGCATCAACCCAGAGAGGGTTCTCTTCTCTGTTTGCACAAAGTCACCACGCTATTGGCACACAGTGGGTATGCAGTGTGGGGAGGGAGAGCAGCAGGGCTGGAGCCAGATATCCGAGCATGCCCAAGTCACTGGCAGGTGCCCTGACAGCCTTCCCACAGGGGCAGGGAGAGGGGACGCTCAGCCTTTTGTTCTCTCCAGGCGTGGGAGACATCTTCAAACAAAACATCAGCTCTCGAGTCTCATTCATTACTCGGACTCCTGGGACATGGTGAGTGGGAGTGGGGCTTTGGGAGATCTCTGTAACTAAGGCCTTAAAGAGAAAGGAAGGAAATAGAGATGGCTGATCAGCCCCCAAGGTCAGACAGTTGCCCTCTGAAAGTAGCTCTTAACACCCGGTCAGTCCCAGCAGGCCATATTGCTTGGGAGCCTGGCTCTCCCACTGCCATTCTCGCTCAGAATTGTTCTATGAAACAGTTGACCAGATCATTTCATTCACTCTGTTTGTCCCCACCTGCCCTGCTCCCCGTCTCACCCAGGACCCACCCTTCATCACCACCCCATGTTCTAACTTGGCAGTAGACAAGGTCAGAAGAGGTCCTATTTTCTTTTCCTCAGTTCCTACCCCCAGAAAACGGAGCTCCCTGCCTCAGAAGCCCCAGAGCTGGGAGGCCATGGGTTGAAGAAGAGGTTTGGCAAAAAGTAAGTGTTGTCCAGATCCTTGGGCCCAAGCAGACAGAGTCTCAGGGTCTCAGTGTCCTGCCTGTACCTCTGTGTCATATAAGGGATTGCCTTGAGTCTTATTCCTTTTCTCCCTGGCCTGACAGAGGGGCTATAGTGATGAAAGAACTTTCATCCTCTCCCAACCAATGCACCCCACTCTTTAGACAAGAGGCCTGACTCGAAGCATTATCAAGATGGTAATAAGGATTCTGTCCACTGTGGGCACAGCAGTGAAGCCTGCGTGGGTCACAGGCGTGGGGAAGGACAAACAGGAGAAGAAGGCAGAGTTGTGGGGAGACTCGACAGTGGGTGGATGGAGCAAGTAAAGATGGAGATACAGGGGCAGGGATGAGAGGCCATCCCTGATGCTTTTTTCCTTCATCTGTTATGGCCCATCCTGACCCCTGCTCGATCTCCAGGTCTGCTTTTCTGGGGTGGCATTTGCAGAAGGCACCTCACCACTCCTCACCTCCATTGCTACAGGATGGTGGTGGCCCCTTCCCGGCTGTACACGGAGGCGCTGCAGGAGAAGATGCAGCGAGGCTTCCTGGCCCAGAAGCTGCAGCAGTACAAGCGCTTCGTGGAGAACTACCTGCGGCATATCCTGTGTGTCGCAGTCTTCTCGGCCATCTGTGCCGGCCTGTTTGCAGAGCGGGCTTACTGTAAGAGTTCCAGGTCATGGGCAGCGGGCAGGGGCAGGGGCAGGTTCTGACCCTCAGGAGTATGGAGGGTGCTCTGGGTGCCCTTCCAGATCCTCAGTGTATGCACAGAGGAGCCCAGGGTTTGGTTGGGCTCAAGACATTGGTTTCTTATGCCATTTTGGTTTCTCCGGACCCAGACTACGCCTTCGCCTCTCCACCCTCGGGCATCGCACAGACGACCTTCGTGGGCATCATCCTGTCGCGGGGCACGGCGGCCAGCGTCTCCTTCCTGTTCTCCTACATCCCGCCCAC